ACTCAAAAAAAAAAAAAAAAAAGCGTAATTTGTTTCTTTTGAGAATAGTGTTTGCTTTGATATTAAATAAATGGAAAACAAGAATTAAATAACCTATTCTATAATTTTACAATGCTTTAATTCATCAGACAAATGAGCATTTTAGGTTTACATTTTTGAAAGTTGTGACCAGATTGTAGGCCCTAGAAATTCAGAAATGGGTGAGATATATCCTTTATCTCTAAGGAAGGCAGAAACAAAAGTTAATTACAGTATGACATATAATACGGGTCTTAATCTGAGTGTCTGGAAATGTAATTCCCACATTTATGAATTTGGATAAGGAAAAAAAAAATTGCACTAACTTCTAACTAAAAAACAGCATTTTCTTCAGTTATGAATAAAGGCAACAAACCACAGTAGTATTAACCTACTTTGTCACCAGTAGAAATTGCATATTATTTTCATATCATAAGAGTTGTTATAGTATTTTTAAATATTATTTACTGATACTTAATGGGTGTTATTGGACCAACTGCCAGAGCTTGTCATTTAATGCTTTCATAAAGAAATATATATTTCACCATGTCATAAACCATTTGAAATATTTGACAACTGTATTTCAGTATATTTAGTTTCCTTTGTATTTCATTTTATTCATTTAAAAACATTATTCAGACCAGATATGGTGACTCACACCTGTAATCTCAGCACTTTGGGAGGCCAAGGTGGGTGGATTACTTGAGCCCAGGGGTTTGACAGTAGCTTAGACAGCACAGCAGGACCTCCTCGTCTCTACAAAAAAATCCAAAAATTAGCTGGGCTTGCTGGCACGCACCTATAGTCCCAGCTACTCAGGAGGCTGAGGTGAAGGATCACCTGCACCTAGGAGGTCAAGTGTGCAGTGCCCTGCGATCATGCTACTGCACTCTAGCCTAGGTGACAGAGTGAGACCCCAACAAATAAAGTAACACCTATTCAGCAAAGGTATTCTTAGGCTTCACTGATCTTCTTTCTGGTGTAAAAAAGATTGGGGACACCTGGCATGGATTGTGCCCTGTTGGACTTAGACGAGGCCTTATGGGAAGACAGAGGAGCCACAGGACAAGGTTGAGAAGCTTGGGGTGCACCTGTGTCCTAAAGAAAGGATGCATAAGCAGTCTCTGACATGGTGATTATTTACCTGCCTGGTGGTTGAGGTAATGGAGAGCAAGGTGCATTCCATTCTGGAAATGATTAGCTGAGAGTAGAGTACGTGGGGGATATGGAAGGCCATGAGACTAGTTTACTTAACTATGACAAAATTGGCATAAGAACTGCATCTTGTCTTTACTAGATTTCACCGTTTCTTGGATGTCAACAGCCACAAAGTAGAAAAAACAATAAAAGGGTAAGTCAATTTTGTGTGTATGTATATAAGTTTATATTCAGAAATATATGTATTTATTGATCTTGTTAATATAACTTTATAAGCATTGATTTTTATATTTTAGAATTTATGAAAAATTTGTCATTCATTCTGATCTATGCAAAGCTGCTAGTTGGAAGAGATTAACTGAGGAATTTCTAAATGCATCTCTTCCCAGCATAAAGGAAATAAAGGTATGCCGTCAATTGTGAGATCTGCATTGTGCATTTCACTGTTTATTATCTGATTGTTGTCAACTTGTTTCTGTTAATAGTTAAACATTCTATTTTAGTATTGTACACTGGCTAGAACAGGATCTCCTGGAAATCGTCTTAAATATTGTCATCAAACAAAATGTGCCGCAGCTTGTATTGAAAGAGAGAACTTGTTTTTGTTTAATCATCTTCTTGCCTTAAACCTACTATGGAAATAGAGATGAGCAATTGACATGAATAATAGCATTGTTTGGATATCTTACAGCTTTCAGATGGCTTCTAATCTGAAGTAACTGCCTCTGTATACTTACTGGATGCCTGGTCCACTTTCATATTGTGTTGAAGGTCACCAAGACCACCCTTAGGGGCAGTGATTTGCTAGAATGATTCACAGAACTAAAAAAAACTGTTATCCTCACTGTTATTTTTCGTTACAGTGAAAGGATACAGATTAAAACCAGCAAAGGGAAAAAAAAAAGAAACTAGGAACAAACTTCCAGATGTCCCTTCCCAGTGGAGTTACCTGGGGATGCACTTAATTCTCCCAATAACAGTGTGTGACAGCATGTGTAAAGTATTGCCAACAAGGGCAGCTGACTTGAGCCTTGGTGTCCAGGGTTTTTATTTGAGGTGGGTCACATAGGCAGGCATTCCTGCATGACTGACCTTAGCTACTCAGTCTCCAGCCCCCTAGATGTTAAACCAAGGGTCTCAGGCATATGAAAACAGGTATTCACCGTAAGTCACATTGTTAACATAAACTGTGTGGTCAAACTGATACAGCATGACTCAAGGCCTCTGGCATACAAAAGCACCCTTTTCAGCAGGATGTTCCAAAGATTCATAGGTTGTCTTCCAGGAGCCCATGAGTGGTCAGTCCTGAAGCCCTCTGGGATGGTCAGGGTTTAAGCAACCCCGACCTGCTGAGTGAACCCTTACTGTACACATGTACTCACTCATTTAATCCTCACAATTACCTTCAAGGAAAATAACCTGCGAGGAGTTTTCTTTACTGATAGACCTTCTCTTGGTCAACACTGTGGGAATTGGTTTCTTAAGGAAGAGAGCTGAGTTTAAGGAAATAGGTATAAAGGTATTTCTAGAAGAATGAGAGAGCACTGCATTGTCCTGAGTTCATACCCTGAGGAGTAGAAATGGACTTCTGTGTACTGTTTCCACAAAGACCATTTGGGAAGAAGCAGCAGATCTTTTTTAGATATCTGAATTCATTCTATATAGCTTTCTGGATAGACTGCAGAATTGAATAATTTAGAACCTAATGACATGTTAAGATTAATGATAAAAATAATGGCAAGCGTTTTTCGAGTACCTACTGCATGCCAGGCTTTGTTTATCTCATAAAGGCCATATTCGGTAGGTACTGTGATTGTCTCCATTTTTGGCAAGGCAAGGGACTTACTCTCCATTTAATTTGCACTAAATAAAATAGCTGTGTTGTGCAGGACAGTGAAGCATGCCTTCTGATTCCTGGTTGGCCTCCCATTGTGGTCATTCGCTGTGCCTTGCTGCTGTGGCTCTTGAGCTCCGAGGGGCCGTGTTCCTTGCTCTGCCGGGGCACATCCTAGGCCTGCCCACATTGTTCTCCCCTTGCTGCTGCCTGAGGAAGCTCCCCCTTGGATGTTAAACTAAGCATCATCTTGATGTGTACTGTGTTTCGCTTCTTTGTTGTATTTGTGGTTGGTCTTTGCCTCTCTCCCCCCATAACAAGTGACTTTCACATCAGCTCTATATCTGATTCGTTTTCAGGCACCTAGGATACAGAAAGCGAAGTGTATTTGTTGAAGGAATGAATAGGTCTGCAGTCCTGTCTTTCTGCCTTGCTGTCCCCCTCTTTATTTGGTTCCCACCCTGCTTACACAAGGCAGGATTGGTTTTCCTTTTCTGTCCTGCTGTGTAGCATCTTAGACACTGTTATGGCGTGCCAGTAACATCACACTTTTTTCTAGCTTTATTGACATATAACTTGCTGTTACGTTCATCCACTGTGAATGTACAATTCACTGATTTTTAGTAACTGTATCGTCATACAGCCATCACAACAATCCAGTTTTAGAACTTTTCGGTTTTCCAAAAGCTTCCCTCAAGCGCATTTGCAGTCACTGCCCACTCTTACTGCAGCACTGATCTGGCAACTACTGATCTGCTTACTGTGGCAACTGCTGATCTGCCTACTGTGAAAAGTTTGCCTTTTCTGGACATTTCATATAAACGAGGTTATATAATATACAATCTTTAATGTCTGGCTTCTTCACTTAGCCTTCTTTTTTTAATATAGAGATGGGGCCTTGACATGTTGGCCAGGCCGATCTCCAACTCCTGACCTCAAACAATCCTCCTATTTTAGCCTCCCAAAGTGCTAGAATTAAAGGGGGTGAACCATCCTGCCCAGCCCACTTAGCATACATGGGGTTCATACCTGTTTCTATTCCTTTTCATTGCTGGATTTTTTTTTTTTTCCTTTTGAGTCAGAGTCTCACTCTGTCACCCAGGCTGGAGTGCAGTGGGCATGATCATGGTTATCACAGTCTTGACCTGCTGGGCTCAGGTGGTCCTTCTGCCTCAGCCTTCCAGGTAGCTGGAACTACAGGTGTGTGCCACCACACCTGGCTGATTTTTTGATTATTTTGTAGAGATGAGGTCTCGCCAAGTTGCCTAGGTGTTCTGGAACACCTGGACTCAGGCAGTCCTCTTGCCTCGGCTTCCTGGAGTGCTGAGATTACAGGCGTGAGCCACCATGCCAGGCTAATAGTATTCTTTTATGTGCATTTCCTTTATATGCATTATATGCTGCATTTGTTTATTCATCAGTAGATAGTAGATTGTTGTCAATTTTTAGCTACAATGAGTAATGAACTACTGTGAATGTTCTCATAAGCACATGTAGACATATGTTTTAATTCCTCATTGGTAGATTTCTCGAAGAGGAATTGCTGGTTTATATGGTAAGCTTAGGTTTAATCTTTCAAGAAACTGCTGAGTTGCTTCCCAAGTTGGCTGTATTATTTTATATTTTTACTAGAAATGTATAAGGGTCCCAGTTTCTCCATGTCTTTGCAAGCACTTGTTATTGTCTATCATTTTGATAATAGACATCCTAGAGAGTATATAGCAGTTTCATTGTGCTTTTTGATTTACATTTCCCTAATACCTAATGGTGTTTTGTTTTTTGGTTTTTTTTGAGTTGGAGTCTCACTCTGTCACCCAGACTGGAGTGCATTGGCCGCTCCCAGCCACCACAGCCTTGACCTGCTGGGCTCCGGCGATCCTTCTGCCTCAGCCTTCCGAGTAGCCAGAATTACAGGCGCGCTCTACCACACCCAGCTAATTTTTTTGATTTTATTGTACAGATGAGGTCTCACCTGCCCAGGCGGGTCTCGAACCCACGGGCTCAGGCAATACACTCACCTCAGCCTCCCAAAGGCGCGGGACTACAGGCTGAGCCACCGAGCCCGGCCCTAATGGTGTTAAACATCTTTCCAGTTGAGTTATTTGTCATCTTATGAGTTATCAGAGTTGCTTATATATTCTTCTTACAGGCTCTTTATCATAGAAATTATTTCTAGGTATTTTCCTTCAGTCTCTGGCTTTTCATTTTTTTAGCTTTTTTTTTTTTTTTTTAAAGCTCATAAGTTTTTCATTTCTTTCCTTTCTTTTTTGGCTTTCTTTTATGACTTCTGCTTTTTGTGTCATGTCAGAGAACTCTTTGCCTACCATAAAGCTGTGAAGACTTTTCTTCTAGATGTTTTATGGTTTTAGCACTTGTACTTAGGTCTGTGATCCACTTTGGTTCATGTTTTAAGGAAAGAGTCTTAAGTTGCTTTCTTTTTTTCATACAGATAAACAAGTTCCAACCCCATTTTGTTGAAAAGACTATCCTTTACCTATCGAATTGTCTTTGCAACTTTGTCAAAAACAAATTTACCACAAAAGCAGCGTTGTATTTTTGGATAATGAATTGTTTCATTGTTTTGTACACGTATGTTTACACCAATACCACACCACACTGTCTTAATATAGTAAGTTGTAAACAGTCCTCTGTCTTACTCCATTCAGCCTGCTATAGTAAAAAAAAAAACAACAGAAATTTATTTCTTACAGTTCTGGGGGTCTAGGAAGTCCAAGTCAAGGCCCTGGCAAGTTCTGTGTCTGGCCTAGCAAGGGCCCACTTCCTGGTGCTTAGGTACCTTTGTTCTCATGTGGTTGAGAGAGAAGGAGCACTTTCTTTTGTCTCTTATTATAAGGGCACGAGTCCCATCCATGAGGACTCCACATCTCCTACTACCATCACCTCAGGAACTGGGATTTCAATATATGGGTTGAAGGAAACACAAGCATTCAGACCATAGCATCCTCCAGTTTGTTCTTTTTAAGAACTGCTTTGTGTAGTGTAGATCCTTTGAATTTCCACGTACATTTTAGGATCAGGTTAAATTTCTGCAAAAAACCTGTTGGGATTTTGGCAGTGATTGTGTTGAATCAGTGTGGAAAGTGTTGCCATCTGTCATGGGTTGAATTGTGTCTCTCAAAAACATATGTACAAGCCGGGCTTGGTGGCTCAGCCTGTAATCCCACGCTTTGGGAGGCTGAGGTGAGTGGATTGCCTGAGCCCGTGGGTTCGAGACTTGCCTGGGCAACTTGGCGAGGCCTCATCTCTACAATAAATTTAAAAAAATTAGCCAGGCGTGGTAGTGTGCGCCTGTAGTTCCAGCTGCTTGGAAGGCTGAGGCAGAAGAATCACTAGAGCCCAACAGGTCGAGGCTGTGGTGGCTAGGAGCGTGCCACTGCACTCCAGTCTGGGCAACAGAGTGAAACTCCAACTCAAAAAAAAAAAAGATATGTACAAATCCTATCCTATCATCCACTACCTGTGAAAATGACCTTATTATAGGACCTTTGATGATGCAATCAAGTTAAAATGAAATCATGCTGGATTAGCATGGGCCCTAATCCCATAAATCACATTTTATAAGAAGAGAGATATTTGGACACAAAGAGAAGGGAAATCATTGACAACAGAGGCAGTGCTTCTGCCAGGCAAGGAGTGCCAAAGATAGCCAGCAACTACCAGAAATGAGAGAGAGGCAAGGAAAGACTGTTCCTTAGAGCCCTCAGAGGGAGCATGGCCCTGCTGACACCTTGTTTTCAGACTTCCCACTTCCAGAACTGTGAGAAGATAAATTCCTTTCGTTTTATGCCACCCAGTTTGTAATATTTTGTTATGGCAGCTCAAGGAAACTATAATCTTTTCAATAATAATATCTTTCAATCTATGAATATGGAATTTCCCTCCATTTTTTTAGGTCTTTAATTTGTTTCAGCAATGCCGGTCTCGTAGAATGAGTTAAGGAGGGTTCTCTTTATTTCTGCCTTATAGAATAATAGAGAAATGGTGTCATTCTTTTCTTAAATGTTTGTAGCTTCACCAGTGGGAACCATCTGGTCTTGGTGCATCGTTTTGAAAGGTTGTTAATTGTTGATTCCATTCATTTAATGCTCTAAGCTTCTTCAAAGCCCTGTTAGTCCTTGTGTGAATTTTGATAGATTGTGTCTTTCAATTGATTGATCCATTTCATCTCAGTTATCAGATTTGTGGAAATAGAGTTGTTCATAATACTTTTTTTTTTTTTAATAGAAATGAGGTCTTGCTATGTTGCCTGGGCTGGTCTCAAACTCCTGACCTCAAGTGATCCTCTCCTGAGCCTCCCAAAGTGCTGGGATTATAGGAGTGAGCCACCACTCTCCTCATAATACTCCTTTATTGACCCCCTCTTTAATTTCTAATTTTAGTAATTTATGTATTCTCTATTATTGTTAACATGGCTGCAGATTTATCAGTGTTATTTATCTTTTCAGAGAATCAGTGTTTGGTTTCATTGATTATTGTTTTGTGTTTTTATTACTTCTGCTTTAGTTTTTATTATTCCTTTTCTTCTGCTTGCTTTGTACTTATTTTGCTCTTCTTTTTCTTGTTTCCTACAGTGGAAGCTTAGATAAGTGATTCTAGATTTTTCTTTTTTTTGTAACATGCATTCAGTAGTATAAATTTTTCTCAAAGCATTGTTTTTGCTGTCACACAAATTTTTTTTTTTTTTTTTTTTTTGAGTTGAGTCTCACTCGGTCGCCCAGACTGGAGTGCAGTGGCCGCTCCTGGCCACCACAGCCTCGCCTGCTGGGCTCCAGCGATCCTTCCGCCTCAGCCTTCTGAGTAGCCGGAATTACAGGCATGCGCTACCATGCCCGGCTGATTTTTTTTATTTTTATTGTAGAGATGAGGTCTCACTGCCCAGGTGGGTCTCGAACCCGCGGGCTCAGGCAATCCACTCACCTCAGCCTCCCAAAGGCACGGGATTACAGGCTGAGCCACCGAGCCCGGCTACACAAATTTGATAAGTTATATTTATTCATTTGGTTCAGAATGTTTAAGTTTTAATTTTAAATTTTACCCTATGCTATTTAGAAATGTATTGTTTAGTTTCCAAATACTTCAGAATTTTCAAGCTGTCTTTCTGGTAATCGTTTCTAGTTTACGTATATTTTCAAATATTGCTTTCACAAGTAGTATGGGTGCCTTATAACAGAGTATTGCCAATTTCTTTCTCCTGTCCCTTATAACATTATAGCCTTTCATTTCACTTATTCATAAGCTAAAATCACTGAAAACATTGTTGTGATTATTAGTTTGAACAAACTGTTTATTGTTAGTTCAGCTAAGAGTAAGAAAAATAAAAGATTTCATTTTGCCTTCAATTTTTTCTTCTCTCATGTTCTTCCTTTGTTTATGTAAAGCCAAGTTTCTGACCTGTATCATTTTCCTTCCCTTTGAAGGATTTTGGGAACAAATTTTCTCAGTTTTTTCCTCAGAAAGTATGCATTTCTCCTTCAACTTTGAGAGTTTTGCAGGATACAGAATTCTAGCTATGTAGGTTTTTCTTTCTGTATTAATGATGTATCGTATTTCACTCCACTCTTCCCACTGCCATGATCTCTGAAGTCTGATGTAGTTCCTACCCTTGCTACTCTGTAGGTAAGGTAGGTTTTTTCTCTGGCTTCTTTTAAGAGTTTCTCATTTTCTTTGATTTTCTGCAGTTTGAATGTAATATGTGTTGGTGTAGCTACTTTGGTATTCTTCTTGTTCTCCGAACTTCGGTCGTTTGGTATTTGTCTTTATCTTTAGAAAAATGTTTCATACTTTTCTTCTATCTTTGTTTCTTTCCCTAGTATTCCCATTATGTGCAGGTTATTTCTTTTGTAATTATCCCACAGTTTTTGTATATTCTATTCTGGTTTTTTAAATTTTTTCTCTCTTTGGTTTTGGAAGTTTCTGTTGACACATTTTCAAGCTCCCTGATTCTTTCCTCAGCCATGCCAGTTTCCTGATGAGCCCATCAAAGGCATTCTTCATTTTGGTTTCCTTGTTTTTGATTTATAGCACTTTGTTTTGGTTCTTCGTTTCAGTCTCTCTGCTTATATTTGTCTTGCTTGTTATCCACGCTTTTTATTAGAGCTCTTAGCATATTAATCATAGTTATTTCAAATTTCTGGTCTGGTAATTCCAGCATCCTTGCCATATGTGAATCTGGTTTGGATGCTTGCTCTGCCTCTTCTGACATACTGTATCAGGTAGCCAGTATTGTCTACCTGGACACCCGAGACCAGGAGTCCAGGGTTTTTATTGGGGGCTGGTCTCTTAGGCACCTAGTGACTGATTTCAAGGCTGGGCATGGTGGCTCACACTTGTAATCTCAGTACTTTGGGAGGCCAAGGCAAGAGGATTGCTTGAGCCCAGGAGTTTGAGACCAGCAAGACCTCATCTCTGTGAAAATTTTTTTAAAAATTAGCCAGGCATGGTGGCATATGCCTGGAGTTCTAGCTACTAGGGAGACTGAGATGGAAGGATCGCCTGAGCCCAGGAGTTTGAGACTGTGGTAAGCCGTGATCGTGCCACTGCATTCCAGCCTGGGTGGCAGAATGAGACCCCAACTCAAAACAAAAAACAAAAACCGAAACTGACTGCAGTTACTGAAGTTTCAGACCCTTCAAAGGAAGGCAGGTGTTTACCATAAGAAGACTGCCAATTCAAATAGAACACTTCAACAAAGGAGAATAATAGCCAGTAAAGGAAAATCAGAAGACTTTTAAGCCTATAGGAAAAAAATGTCTACCCTTTTATAACATCAGATAAATTCAAACTAAAGCAACACTGAGATAGCATTTTTCACTTAATCTGATGAGTAAAAAGTGTGGGAAACAGGTAATTTTATATGTGTGTATGCTTGTGTGTGTGTATGTGTGTATATGCAGTATTTGTACTGAATGCAAACTTGTACATTTTTTATGGAGGGCATTTTAACATTATTTCTCAAAATTTCACATGGAAATATTCTTTGACAAAGCATTTCACTTTTTAGGAATTTACTATCTAAATTCATAATTGTGAAATAGCATGTTTATGACAGAAAGACTGGAAAAAAATCCAAATGTCATTAATAGAGGACTGGTTAAATAAATTATGGTACATCTATGTTAAACTATTGGATGTGTTTAAACTTCATGATACATATTGCCACAGGAGAATAGTCTATTTTTTGCCCTAATATCATACTCTAAAGACATTTGAATCCTTTTAGGAATAAAAGCTGTCATCCACTCAGATGTCTTATTCCTGTAGGAATATATAACTCAGGCCTTAGATGGCTTTGAGGTTTCTTATATGTATACATTTGAACTATGAAAAAAAGTTTAGAGATTAGAAGTTATTTATGTATGACTCATGTTTTCTCAAACCAGGAAAAAAAATTGGAGCCATAGCTGTCATGGAGTTGTCTTTTCCAATCTTAGTGATTCACGTTCTTCACTTTTTCTTTTACAGACAGATGCACATTATTCTATACTGTCGCTTCTTCTGTGTCTGTCTAATTCTCCTTCAAACAGCAATTATGTGGAAACACCAAGAGATAAAGAAGTGGGTACGTTGCTAGATGGTTTAACATACAAGAAATAAAAGAGAAGTTGATCTTATTATTTAATTACTAGACATTGATATTTTACTAAAAGCTGTGAAAAGCTATGAAATTATAGTATTTCTGTTGTTTTGGATGCAATTGCAACTGCAAAATTTCATTTAAAATGCAGGCCAAGCTCAGTGGCTCAGCCTGTGATCCCAGCACTTTGGGAGGACGAGGTGAGTAGATTGCCTGAGCCTGCAGGTTCGGGGCCAGCCCAGGCAACTTGGCAAGACCTCCTCTCTACAAAAAAAATTAGCCAGGCATGGTAGCACACGCCTGTAGTTCCGGCTACTTGGAAGGCTGAGGCGGAAGGATCGCTGGAACCCAGCAGGTCAGTGCTGGATTGGCCGTGAGCATGCCACTGCACTCCAGCCTGGGCGACTGAGCGGACTCCGACTCAAAATAAATAAACCTGTATCTACAGGTTCCAAATCAACAAATTCAACCAACTGTGGCTCAGAGATAGTCTAAATAAATAGTTGCAATGCAACAATTAAAAATAATACAAATTTTTCTTTTAAAAAACGTTATAAGTATTTATATACCATTTACATTATTTTAAGTATTAAAGTATATGAGAGGATGTGCATAGAGTATATGCAAAAATACACCATTTTATATAAGTGACTTGAGCATCCATGGGTTTTGGTATGGGAGTGGGAGCAGATCCAGGAACCAATTCCCTTTGGATACCAAAGGTCTAACTTTGTTAGGTAAACTGTCTTCAATTATATGAAGAGAACACACACCTTTGAGAGTGAGTTAGTTAAAATGTAAAATATATTAGAATATCATTTTATTAGGTTTTTAAACTTTGATTTCCTGAATATATTTTGAGTTTTGTTAACCTTTTTTCCTGTAGTTTTGGGTTTTTTTTTTCCCAGTGATGGTTGTGATAAAACTGATGAAGTTCTCCTGTTACTTTTTAGAAAAGAAAGATGATTTTGACTGGGGAAAATACTTGATGGAAGGTGAAGAAATGGATCTTGGTCCAAATGTGAACACACCAGTAAGTGGTAGTAATTTTGCTATTGAAAATGTAAGTACAACTGGGCATGGTGACTCACACCTGTAATCCCAGCACATTGGGTGGCAGAGACAAGAGGATTGCCTGAGTCCAGGTGTTCATGATCAGTCTGGGCAATTTGGTGAGACCTCATCTCTACTATAAATCAAAAAATTAGCTGGGCATGGTGGCACGCACCTGTGGTTGAGGCAGGGCCAGGCTCGGTGGCTCAGTTTGTAATCCAGCACTTTGGGAGGCCAAGGCAAGTGGATTGCCTGAGCCTATGGGTTCGAGACCCACCTGGACAACTTGGCGAGACCTCGTCTCTACAATAAACAAAAAAAATTAGCTGGATGTGGTAGCATGCATCTGTAGTTCCAGTTACTTGGAAGACTGAGGCGGAAGGATCGCTGGAGCCCAGCAGGTTGAGGTTGCATTAACTGGGAGCGTGCCACTGCACTCCAATCTGGGTGACAAAGTGAGACTCCAACTCAAAAAAAAAAAGTTGAAACAGAAGAATTACCTGAGCCCAGCAAGTCAAGGCTGTGATGCCATGAGCGGGCCACTGCACTCCAGCCTGGGGGGCAGTGTGAGACGCCTACTAAAAAAAAAAAAAAAAAAAAAAAAAGGCTGAGCATGGTAGCTTATGTCTATAATCCCAGCACTTTGGGAGGCTGAGGTTGAGAGAATTGCCTGAGTCCACGTGTTCAAGACCAGCCGGGCAACTTGGCAAGACCTCATCTCTACAGTAAATCAAAAAATTAGCCAGACTTGGTGGTGCATGCCTGTAGTTCCAGCTACTTGGAAGGCTGAGGTGAACGGATTGCCTAAGCCCAGCAGGTCAAGGCTGCGGTGGCCATGAATGTACCACTGCACTCCAGCCTGGGCAACAGAAACTCTTACATTAAAAAAAGGAAGAAAATATAAATACATACCAAGAGATACAGATAATTTTAATGAGTATTTCTGCTCTAGGTCAACTTAGCTAAAATGGGAACACTCTTTACTTAGCTAGGGTAGTTTATTATGGAAGACTGGTTAGGATTTTGTACCAATTGTTAGTACTAAGAAGTTGAAAGGGTTGAATACAAGTATTCCTTAAGAGCCGGGCTCGGCTCAGCCTGTAATCCCGCACCTTTGGGAGGCTGAGGTGAGTGGATTACCTGAGCCCGCGGGTTTGAGACCTGCCTAGGCAACTTGGCAAGACCTCATCTCTACAATAAATCAAAAAATCAGCCGGGTGTGGTAACACATGCCTGTAATTCCGGCTACTCGGAAGGCTGAGGCGGAAGGATTGCCGGAGCCCAGCAGGTCGAGGCTACAGTGGCTGGGAGCTGCCACTGCACTCCAATCTGGGCAACAGAGTGAAACTCCAACTCAAAAAAAAAAACAAGTATTCCTTAAGGACCTATGATCTTGGATTTTTTTTTTTTTTGCCACAAAAATAATGCCATTTCTTATGGTGTCGATATCATTATAGACTAAAAAATAATTATTATTATAATTTCATCTCCAAAAATAGGCATTTTCAAGAGATTTAGGAAAACTCATTTAGGTTTTGTTTTTCTATCCATGTTGCTTCACAGTTTTTGCTTTTGAGATTTCTTAAAATTTTTTAACCTAAATATCTGTAAGTGTTATACTCTGAAAGGGTAAGGTATATTGTCTTTTTAAATCAGGATTGGTCTGAAGAAAGTGAAGATGAAGATGATCAACAGCCCTTAAGCAGAGAGGACTCTGGAATTCAGGTAGACAGGACACCATTAGAAGAACAAGATCAAAACAGAAAACTGGGTACTTGTGTCAGCTGGAAAGGTATTGTGTGTGGTTGGATACTAGCATTTTCTTAGAGAAGGATTCCCTAGAAGTAAGGTCAATTGTTGAGATCATTTCCATGTGATCAAGATATTACATAAACTCTACTATTTTTATAAAACCATTCTTTTTAATCCATTAGTTTTTTGGCGGTTTTTTTGTTTTTTTTTTACATATAATGCCTAAGAAGTAACACTATAGAATTAATGTTGAAGTAATACATTTAGAGCTAAATGTTTCCTTTTTTTAATTGGAAAACGATTGCCTTTACTGAAGTTAGTAACTAAATAAAAGGAAAAGATCTGTACAATTATTTTTTAATTTGAATGTCTGCTCTTTTAGTTTTGAGTAAGGAACCATGAATTGGTAGAATCTATAAAGAGCTGAAAGCAATCTTAGATTAGATCATCTACTCCTACTGTTCATTTTGTAGATAGGGAAACAGAGGCTGGGCTGCGGTAGGTTCCCAGGGTCCTGCAGCTGTGAGACAGATGCCAGCAATGAGGCCCTATTCTCTGCACGCAAACCTTGCCACATGTACATGGAGTAGTTAAAGCTGACTTAGCTTGCTAATGACTTTCTGGTCACATTTTATCTCTTCTTTTTAATTCTTGAGTTGAAGCTCCAGGGCAGAGAATGGTATTAATCAAGCCACTCAGTTCAGAGCTGGATTCCTGGAAGGAAAAGCAGGCCTTCTTTGCCTTGTACCATCATCACTAGTCCTCACAGGTCCTTTCAGTTTATTCCTTATCCTTTCTTCTCTTTCTTCTGCTACTTCTGAGTCCCACTCCTGTTTCCCTTTCTCTGCCAGCCAGATACAAAGCACCTGTTCTCATGTATTTGCTGTCTGCATTCTTATATATGCTGAGTTCTTATAAAACATGTTGTGTTGGTTGGTATGTTCTTTTTTAAATGACATAACTGGTATTATTTGTTGTTATGCTTTTCATTCACCTCTTCTAAAATCTGTCCACATTGCTATATGAGCATCTCTTCCTTTGTTCATGACTGTCGCATATGATTCTGCAGTTTGCAACTACCATATTTCATTTACTGTTTGTGGATAGACCCTGATGACCTTCGCCTCATCTGCCCACCCAGGACTCTGGACCTCTGTGAGAGTTTGGCTGCAATATACGGTCCTACTCCCATAATCTCATCAGTGCTTGATGAGATCCACCCTTCTGATTTGGGTCATTGACGTTTTTCATTTGTGTTTGTCTGACTACTGTTGATTTAGGGACTTCCTCAAGCATTCCTGTTCTGTGAATTGCTTGCCCACTGACATTCTTTGCTCATTTTTCTTTCAAGTTTTCTGTCCTCCCTGCTTATCTCCACCCCTCAGAGATTTTTGCAGATTTGAATATTCATTCCTAGGTTTCGACATTGAAGATATCTTCCAATCACCTATTAACATTTTTTCATGTTTCCCTTCAAACAGAATCCATGATTTTCTATATTATATTGTACTCAAGCCTGTGAATTTTTTATATGGTCTGTATTTGGGTCTTGATACTTTTCTCAGCAAAAACATTTCCCTGTATTTTTCTTCTGTTTGTTTTTTTTTTATAGCTTGTGTTTGAGTCTTTAGTGACCACCAGGTCCACTGTAGGGTAGAAAGTGATGTTAAAGATCCTGCTTATTTTTTTCATGCCTCATGAACCAGTTTTCCCAGCAGTATCTAGGAAACAATCCATTCTTTCTGCATTGCTCTGTGGTTCTATCTTTATCATACATCATGTTCTCCTCTATACATGGACAGTTGGCCCTCTGTATCTGACATTTCTGCATCCAAGCATTCAGCCAAATGGATCCAAAATATTCTGAAAAAAAGAAAAGTATAACAATTTAAAATGATACACATTTTAAAAACAATATAGTATGATACTGGTTTGCATACCATTTACAATGTATTAGGTATTATAAATAACCTAGAGATGATATAAAGTATGTGGGAGGATGTGTGTAGGTTATATACAAATACTGCACCTTTTTATATTAGGGACTTGAGCATCTGTAGATTTTGCTATTCAAGGAAGTCCTACAACCATTCCTCAGAAGATACCGAGGAATAACTATATACTCCAAACTTTCTATTTGGTGTCCTTAGTGTGAGTCTGGCCCAAGAACAGACTGTTTTTATTGATACAGCTTAGTAATATTAGGTCATAATATGTAGAAGGTAAGTCTCCCTCTCACCCACCTTGCTGTTTCAAAATTGGCTAACCTATTGGTGAACTTTTATTCTTTAATAGACATTTTAGAAGCGAGATGGTAAGTTTCGTTAAAAAAAAAAAAATCTCTACCAGTTTTTGTAGCTCACACCTACCTGTAAATCCTAGCACTTTGGGAGGTTGAAGCTGGAAGATTCCTTGAGCCCAGGAATTCGAGACCTTGTCTCTACAAAAAAATTTAAAAATTAGCCAGGTGTGATGGCATACACCTCTAGTCTCAGCTGCCCAGGAGGCTGAGCTAGGAGTATCAATTGAGCCCAGGAGTTTGAGGCTACAGTGAGCCGTGATCGTGCCACTGCACTCCGGCCTGGGTGACAGAGTGAGACTTCAGCTCAAAAAGAAAAAGAAAATCCAACTCAAAAAGAAAAGCACACCGGCTCATGCCTATAATTTCATTACTTTGGGAAGCCAAGGCAGGAGGATCACTTAAGCCCAGAAGTTCAAGACCAGCCTGAGCAACATAGTAAGACCGTGTCTCTACAAAAAAAAAAAAAGTAAAAGGTAGCTGAGTATGATAATGGATGCCTATAGTCCCAGCTACTTGGGAAGCTGAGGCAGGAAGATCTTTTGAGCCCAGGAGTTCAAGGCTTCAGTGAGCTATGATCTGTCATACCACTGCACTCTAGCCTGGGCCACAGAGCAAGACCCTGTTGCTAAAAGAAGTAAATAATTTTTTTAAAAACAAAAAATCCAGCTGGGATTTTTAATTGGAATTACAGTGAATTTATAGATTCTAACTTGGAGAGAATTGGCATCCTTTCTGTGACACTGTCTGCGTTTATCCTAATTTTTTATATCTTCTACTAGATTTTGGAAGTTTTCTTTTTAAAAATCTTGAGCATTCATTTGTTAATTTCTACATGTTATAGTTTTTATTGTTGTGAAAGTTACCTGTTTTGTCTTATTCTGGTGTAGAACTATTAGTTTCTGTAAGTTGTCCTTATATCCAGCATTTATGCAGAATTCTCATATTAATGATAATAGTTGGTTGACTCCATTGGGTTTTTTATCTAGATAACTAGTATCATCTGCTGATATTGAGAGCATTCTTTCTTCCTGCCAACTCTCATACCTCATGTCTTTTCCATGACATGTTGCCCGAGTCTCTCTTGGCCCGCCTGCCCAGCTCTCTATTCCACATAGTGAACAGCCGCCATAGGTGGGCTTCCTGGCAACGGGGCTCTGGCCTGCAGGGGCTGCCTCTGAAACTCCTCTGTTAAGTGTGGTGGTTGTTTTGGGTATGTGGTCTTTGTCCAGCTAAGACACTTTTCTTCTACACTTTTCTTCTATTCCTTTCTTTCTGGGAACTTTTAATCATAAATGAGTGTTGAATTTTATCAAATGCTATTCTTCATGAGGTAATCTCATAATTTTTCTCTTTTATTCTATTACTGCATTGATAGAGTTTCTGATGTTGGATTGTCCTTGAATTCCTTAGCTAAACTTTGTTGATCATTTTAATTTTTAGTACATTGTTGGATTGGATAAGCCTCTGATGAATTACATTTCATATCATGTCTGTCTGGTTTTAGCATCACAATTATATTAGCTTCATAAAATGTTAGGCAACTTTCTTCTGCTTTTTGGAACAACTTATATAAGATTAAACCTTGAAAGTTCAATACCAGTCCTGAAGCTGTGAGGGCAGCTGGGAAAGCCTTTGATTACCATTTCAATTTCCTTAATGGTTATTTGACTATTCACATATACTGTTTGTATCTTTTTATTCATGGGCAATTTCTGGCCAGTGACATTTAATTAAGTTTTGTATGTGTCTCTATATAAATGATTGTATATATGTAAATGTTAGGTTTCAAAGAGCTATTTTTGAGTGTTTATTTGAATGGAGTAATAAGGTTGTATCTTCAGGTGTATATTTGAATGGAGTTGTAAGTCTAGATATTGTGTCAGAGTTGACCCAGAATTCTCTTTTTGTTAACTGTTCTAATTAAAGTGTATTACTTTTCCTTGCAGGAGGTGAGCCAGATGACCGAAGCTGGCTGGAGCAGCATATAGTCCATCAGTACTGGACAGCTAGGCCATCACGGTTTCCTCATAGTTTACATTTGCACTCCAATTTAGCTGCTGTCTGGTGAGTTTATTTAATGTAATGATAGAAAGAACTTTCATGTTTAAATACTTGCTTTGATTAGTGATGTACATCAAGTTTTTCCCTAAAATTTAAACTTTTGTTTTTGTGTTTTTTGAGTTGGGTTCTCACTCTGTCACCAGGCTAGAGTATAGTGGCACAATCATGGCTCACTACAGCCTCGACCTGCTTAACTCATGTGATCCTCCCATCTCTACCTCCAGACTACAGGCACACCACTACCCCAGCTAATTTTAATTTTTTTGTAAGAACAAGTTCTCACTATGTTGCCCAGGCTGGTCATAAACTCCTGGGCTCAAGCATTTCTCCCACCTCAGCTGGGATTGCAGACGTGAGCCAGTGCACCTGACCAGTTGTTTTTGACAATCCTAATTGAATAGTTTTGATTGCTTTAATTATTATTAAAAATAATGAAATTAATAGTATTAATTATAGTGTGTGCTTTGATTTTTTTGTTGTTAATTTCAGTGTGAATGAATTGGCATATATTATGCCATTATTTGATTTCTGTTTTAATATATTTATTATAAAAATACATTTGCTGTTTTCCCAAAAAATTGCATAATTGTAAACATTTGCCTAAATCAGCAATAAGCATAACAATTGGAATTGTTCTGAAAGTGTCCCTCAGAGTTTTCCACTGATGTTTGGAAATAAATGTGGAGGACATTTGTTATGTTTATTTGCTAACTGATTACTCGCTAAGTTTGCACTAAATTGAGAATATTCTTTGAGACAAGTTATTTTACTTAAAATCTTTTTGTTGATATCTGGTGTTTGCTCTCTGCTAGGGACCAACACTTGTACAGCAGTGATCCATTGTATGTTCCAGATGACAGGGTTTTTGTTACTGAGACGCAGGTTATTCGGGAAACTCTGTGGTAAGATCTATTAACTTAATTAATAGTCTGGAAGGCTTTATTAGTGAGGAACAAAACTGTGTTTTTTTGTTTATTGTTTTAATTTTTGGTGGAGATGAGGTCTTCCCCAGTCTAGTCTTGAACTCCTAGGCTCAAATGATCCTCCTGCCACAACCTCCCAAGTGCTGAGATTATAGTCATGAGCCACCCTGCCTGTTCTTTAAATGAAGGTGTTCAGGAGTTTTTCACATGCAAACTAGAAATGAGCCGTTAGGTATAAAGTTCAGACTTAAGATTTGACTGGGTAACCCCTTTGGGTGCCCTCCCACTGTGGAAGCTTCTCTGTCCTCAATAAATCCTGCTTCTCACTTAAAAAAAAAAAGATTTGACCATAGAGATTGTGAGATTTTGACATATTTACTACTTTGTCATTTTAAATAATTTAGTATATGATTTAATTAGATTATACTAAATTATTTCTTTAACATCTGCGTTCAAAGCCAGGTTTGCTGCTGACTGTTTTTAATAGGCAGAGTGTATCAAAGAGGGCCTGTACCCATACCTGGAAACCAAGAATTAATACAGCATGTGATGCTGCTGCTGCGACAGTCCAGTTCTGGGTGTTATTGGCATTCTGGTATTCTTAGTACTAGTGAAAAGATCTCTTGAGTCATCGAGTATATTGGGGAACTGCTTCGATGGCGCTGTTTTGAACTTCTCTCTAAGATGGTGTTGAAATACCTTAAGTCTTGAGATAAAATCAGATTTAAAAAATCAATGTCTTCCATTTTCTTTTTTTTGAGGATTTCTTTTTCCATTTTCTTATTATCTGACTTTTTTGCCCCATAATTCTGAATCTTTAACAAAAGTTTCCAGGGCATACTGTAGTGAATATTTTTCTAGAATTAGAGTACATTCATCTTTTTTATTTCATTTCAGGTTACTTTCGGGGGTGAAAAAGCTTTTTATATTTCAGGTGATAGATGGGAAGGTAACTGTGAGAAACAATATTATAGTAACTCATTTGACACACGTAAGTTATTTGTATCTATTGTAATTTAAGAACTAAAATAATAGGATTCATGTAAACTGTGGTAATATAATTTCAGGACATTGTACAGTATTAAAATTAAACATTACTGAATTTGTGCTTGCTTTCTGGTATGCAGAAAAAAACTATTAAAATCCAAAAAGCAATTTTGAGTTGTGCATCTTTACAGTACTTAGAGGATTCTTGAATATTGTTTGTGACATATTTCATTTGTTTGCTTTTCCTGCTTATTATTTCTGTCATTCCGTATTGGGAAAGCTGTATACTATAATTTTTTGCCTATAGTACATTTACTTTATATAAGTTTTTGAAAAATATAAGCCACAATTCTTTATTCTATTGAAATCAATGCTCACTCTTTTTCCTTTGTATAGAAAACTAAATATTCATTATTTATTACTTTGTCCTCTACTAAACATACTATTTAAATAATCACAAAAATATTTTACAATAAGGGGGAAATAAATTTGAGTATTTAGAGAAGATCAACTTTAATTGTGGTTTACTTGTCTTGTAGAGCTGTTTACGGTCTGTTCTGGAGCAAATAGCAGCATATGGCCAGGTTGTGTTTCGCCTCCAGGAGTTCATAGAGGAGGTCATGGGACACAGCTCCAAAAGCACACTGCCTGGAGATGGCTCCCTGCCAGGCAAGTCGGCCGGAGCTCCCTTCAGAACCTACCAGGCCTTCATGTGGGCCCTGTACAAGTATTTCATTGGTTTCAAAGAGGAGCTTACAGAGATGGAGAAGGACATCATCAGTAACGGTATTTACATGTTCTTCATTTTTACTCATAAGACACATAACTCATCTTTTGAATACCGTTGAGGTTATTCATCTATGTAAAGTTTCAAAGTTAGGTGACAGATAAGTAATTCTCAGTAATTCATTTAATTTTACAATTATTTAAAGTTTATGTTTTTAAGTTACTCATATTTCTAAAAAATAAAAAACCTACAAAAGGAGTTATAGTGAAAATGTAAATTGTTCTTCTATACCAGCTCTCCAGCCAGCCAGTTCCCCTCCCCAGGGCCAGTCCTCAGCTTACGCATTCTTCCAAAAGCGGTTTAGACATATACAAGCAGCACGGACACATACGCCCACACCTACGAGTCATTACACTACTCCCTTCAAATTGTTTTCTTGTTTATGTTTTGAGGGTCATACCATACAAGTCTATGAGGAGCCTTCTTTTCCTTTTTACAAATCGAGTGCTTCGTCATCGAGTGCTATCTCATAGCCCCATCCCCCTGAATGGACAATTAGGCTCTTCCCAATCTTTTGCTATTGCCCGTCATGCTGCAGTGATAACCACTTCTGTATATCCATAATTATACACAGGCAGTGAGTTATCTGCAAAGTCTTAAAAATGGAATTAGTGGGATGACATGTATGTAATGATGTGGGGTTTTACTGGGTTTTGACACATTGCTTTCCAGGGAGGTGCAGATAAACAAATGTATGTCTTGCCAGCATGTATATGAAAACATGTTTCCTCACACTCTTGCCAGTGGTGTTATCAAACTTTTTGTTCTTCACCAGTATGACAAGTATAAAATGGTAACCCAGGGTAGTGTTTTTTTCCTTAGCTGTTAGTTTCAAATACCACAAAAAATAATACAGAGAGGCCCCATGTTCCCATCACCTTGCTCCCCCCCACTTACATAGTGGTAGCATGATCAGAATTGAGAAACTGACATGGGCATGGCATATTGGCCAGACTGCAGAGCTGGCAGAGGTTTCCCAGTGTTGTAGGTATTTGGTTTAAGGGGGTGGGGGTTTGTTCCTTTGTGTGAAGTTCTGTGCTGTTTCGCCACACGCGTCACTCCATGTAGCCGTTTACCTTCAGGATGTGGAGCTGTGCCCTTGCCTCATAGGACCTTGCTCAGCAACCCCTTTGTGGTCGCAGTCTCCCCATCCCCTCACCGGAGCATCAGCCCATTGTGAGGTGTTTTTGTTTTACTTGGTATAATTTTAATTTGCCCAATTTTATTATTGAGTGACTTTCTGTGTGTTTAGGAATCACTCCTCTTTCCCTTTCTATAAACTGCCGGTTCCTTTACATGTTTTTTGTTTTTTCAGCTAGGTTGTCTTTTTATCCTTGACTTGTAGAAGTTTTTTCGTCCTTAGAGAAATTAGTTCCATGTGATGTGACATTAAAACCCACCACCTTCCATCTTGTCATGCCTTTCCATCAACCTAATAAGTAGCTTAGCATTTATATCACATTTTGGGTGCAGATATTTTTCCTTGCTGTTGAGTTTGGTTTATTGGTTCTCACAGATACTACAATAACTCTCGCAGTAGTGGTGGACAAGTTGTCACCTCGATTGGCTCAACTCAAGGTCCTGCACAAAGTGTTTGGTACTGGAGTGGCAGAAGTTCCACCCGACACTCGAAATGTTGTCCGGGCATCTCACCTGCTCAACACCCTATACAAGGCCATTCTGGAATACGACAATGTTGGAGAAGCCTCTGAGCAAACCGTATGTGGGATTGTGTCACTGTACAGTCAAGGAGTGGTAGATAGCCTATCATAGTTCTTTGTTAAATGGTATTTAAACCATGGATTGTCAGAAAGTATTCAGAATTTTAAAATTAGCTTCCAGGAACAAAATCATGGCCTTCACAGCAGCACGGATGCAGCTAGAGACCATTATACTAAGTGAACTATCACAGAAACAAAGAACTGAATACTGCAAGGTTAGGATCAGCAGATGCTGGACACTGCTAGGGGCGGGAGGGAAGGAGGAAGGATGAGGGACACTTGGCAACACACTGGATACCAGGTCTGCTATCAGGATAAGAGAGGGCCCGCTAGAAATCTAGACTTCAACGGCATGCAACATACTTCTGCAGCAAATCCTCGCTTGTAACCCACGACTCTAAAATAAAAATTGTAAAATAATTAAATAAATAAAATTAGCTTCCAGTTTTGAGGCCACAGGAGACTGGCTTTTCAGCTATAATTGCCAAACTTGTCAAAAGATTGAGGCAAAGATAAAGGAAGATGTGAAAAGTTCATGACTGACTTATCTAGATATTTGCAATATATAAAAACACATCTATTATATGAGTTATCTAAAGTAGTCACATTCATAGAAACAAAGTGGATTGGTGGTTACCAAGGGCCAGGTGATGGGGAGTTGTTGTTTAATGGGTACAGAATTCCAGTTTTACAACATGAAAAAGTTCTGGAGCTCTGTCACAGCAATGTGATTGTACTTAAAACTAGTGAACTAAAAATGATTAACATGATAAATTTTATGTTATACGTTTCTTACCACAATTTTTTAAAAATACAAAGCTAACTAGAATCTATAATCTAGAAAGCTACTGTCTTGTCTGAGTGCATATTTTAAGTGTACTTTTTGTTTCTCACCATTTTGGTATTACAGGTCAGTATGAAAGAGGTTGATTTCTCTCAGCGCTGCCATTTTTGTCCTACTGGGAACAATGGTAGAAAGAAACTATTTCCTGTTTCTTAATAATGTAGGCAGGGAAACCACCATTTGCCTGTTCTGTCCCAGGTTGTACTTGTCGTCCCTATGTAATTCTCACTCTTAAGAGGGTCCTAGTATGGACCACAAGCAATATGGTCATCCCATATTTAGGTAAGCTGTTCATAAGGATTTTATAGTGTATGTTTTTGGGTTTTTAATTTCTTACTTTTTATTTAGAAAAAGTAGACTTCTAATGGCTTTTTAAGGGCATTTTTAGAGATGTTTAAGCCTCATTCTACCTAGTGACCTAGGAGCTCTGAGAGCTGACTCTGCACTCTTGACTGCAGGTCTCGCTCCTGTTCTCTCTCTGGGTGGAAACAGTACGGCCATACCTGCAGACAGTGGATGAGTGGATTGTGCATGGACACCTGTGGGATGGCGCCAAGGAGTTTATCATCCAGAGGTAAGGCGGTAGCATTGAGTGCAGGGGACGCTGGGGCTGACTTCTTGCATCTGCTTCCACATAAAAATTGAATTTTTTAAAAAAAATTTGGGGCTTTTATAGAGGATGTTGGTACCAACCATTTAATATGGTTGTCCAAGTTTTATGTCAGTTCACAGCTTTTCTTACCAAACTGTATTTTTGGATGATAGTATATTTATGGCTGGCTGGTATGTTAAAGTGCACACTGCTGCTGGGCTTGGTGGCTCAGCCTGTAATCCCAGCGCTTTGGGAGGCCAAGGTGAGTGGATTGCCTGAGCCTGCGTGTTTGAGACCTGAACAGGGCAACTTATCAAGACCTCATCTCTACAATAAATCAAAAATTAGCCAGGCGTGGTAGCACACACCTATAGTGCAGCTACTTGGAAGGTACTTGCAGCTACTTGGAAGGCTGAGGTAGAAGAATTGCCAGAGCCCAGCAGGTCAAGGCTGCAGTGGCTGGGAGCGTGCCACTGCACTCCAGTCTGGGTGACAGAGTGAGACTCCAACTCAAAAATAGAAAAACAAAAAAAAATGCACACTGCTTTCCAAAAACTGAATTTAGGTGTATATCAGATGGTTCCATTCCCATTGTAAATGATCAATACAATAAAATGAAAATATTACAGAGTATGCCTCTAACATATTTATTTCTCATAATTAGATACTGTTTTTTCCCCCTTAGTATAATATTTAATAAAACAAGGAAATTTTTTAAATTCGTATGACTATTTCCCTTCAGTTAATTGAGTTTTTCTGCATGGAATCATATAAACTGCAGTGTAGAACTGTTTGTACTCTTTTAACTCAATTTTAAGCTGTGCAATCTCTTTTGATATATGGTTTCTATTGATAGCTATCCATTGAACTAATCAGGAAGGATAACTTTAAGTCCTTAGTGTTTTGGAAGGGTAGCAGTATGTACACAATGTTCACATAAATGAACTGCCCTTCCTTCAGCTAAAACTCATGTCTGTCACTGTATCCTAGTTCATTAATCTCCCATGAGAATTTTTGTGAAAATGGGATTCTGACTGTTCTTCCAGGGTGATGAGTGACCATAATCTTATTGTTAAACGCAGTCCAGGCGGGGCATGATGGCTCACTCCCATAATCCCAGCACTTTGGGAGACTGAGGCAAGAGAATTGCTTGGGCCCAGGAGTTTGAGGCCAAACTGGACAACATATCGAGATCTAATCTCTACAAAGAATCAAAAAATTAGCTGTACCAGCTACTTGGGAGGCTGTAGAGGAGGATCACTAATGACCAGGAGGTCGAGGCTGCAGTGAGCTGTGATCATGCCTCTGCACTCCAGCCTGGGTTACACTGAAACCCTGATTCAAAAAAAAAAGCAGTCCAGTTAAGTATCTTGTAGAGAAGTCTACAAATTACTTTCACAGGAGATGGTAGATGAATAAACTTCTAAAGAGGACCAAATTAGTCATATTTTAAATAATTTCAATTCAGAAAACTTTCTACTTATTTACATTTTACCTATACCATTCAAAGATTGTATTCCCTTTTCTGTGTTAATCTGGGGTCAGATTAAGACTGCACCATTTTGCCTAAAGATTGCTTCATTTTACTAATATTTTTTTGGAATGTCTGGACAACATTCATGGAACAGGTGTACTGTTATTAAGTAACAAGTTAAAGTTTAAAATTATTTTGAATCTATTTAGAAACAAAAATGTTCCGGTAAATCACAGAGACTTCTGGTATGCAACTTACACATTATATAGTGTATCAGAAAAGACAGAAAATGAAGAAAAAATGAGTGATAATGCTAGTGCAAGTTCTGGCAGTGACCAGGGGCCCTCCAGCAGGCAGCACACCATGGTGTCCTTCCTCAAACCTGTCCTGAAGCAGATCATCATGGCTGGCAAGTCAATGCAGCTGCTGAAGAACCTGCAGTGTACAGAGCACACCACGTGCCAGGCAGTGGCAAGAGGTAACCTACTTTCATGTGTCTCCCTCAGTGTTTGGACTACCATTCCCTGCTCACTCTTGACATCCTGAGATACTTTGTAGTTTGGAAGTCACCATCCAACCTGGGCAACATAGTGAGACCCTGTCTCTAAATAAAATCAGTGAGCCAGGCATAGTGGCATATTCCTGTAATCCCAGCTGCTTGGGAGGCTGAGGCTGAGGGTGAGGTGGGAGGATCACTTGAACCTAGGAGTTGGTGGCTACAGTGAACCGTGAGCATGCCATTGTACTCAAGCCTGGGAGACAGTGAGATCCTGACTCAAGGGGGAAAAAAGTCATTAAACCCTCTTATTTTAATGCAAATTATTTACATGATTGAGTAATCATGCTGCCCATGATTGAAAAGATGATTGTCTTCATTGGAAACTTTTAGCACTATGAAAGCGCAGTGACAATAAGTTCCACATGCAGTTTCCTTACTCTTGATTCCTTACCTTTGGACTGGGCTTTTAAAAAATAATTATCCAGCATTTCTTTTTTTTCTTTTATTATTTTTTAAAATTAACCTAATAATTGTACATGTTTATGGAGTACATAGTGATGTTCTGATGCATATAATATATAGTGATCAGATCAGTGTAATTAACAGATCCATCATCCCAAACATTTATCATTTTGTGTTGGGAACATTCAGTATTCTCCTTTGAAACTATGTAATATATTACTATTAAATGTAGCCATCCTACGATGGTACAGAATGCTATACCTTATTTCTTGTAGGTAGCTGTAATTTGGTGTTCTTTAATCAGTCTCTCCCCATCCCCCTTGTACTTTCCAACCCCTAATGTCCTCTGTTCTACTTTTTACTTCTATGAGATCAACGTTTTTAGCTTCCACATAAGTTCAAACATACGAAATTTAACTTCCTGTTTCTGGTTTATTTCTCTTAACTCATTCGCGACCGCTAATGTGAATTTACATCATTCCAAATTCTGTTGCTGTTTGCTGCTGACGTGAATTTACCTCATTGTGGAAGACTGTCTTTTTGGGTATACAGTCCAAATAAAAATACAAAGTATGGAGTGCTAGTCAGATTGGTGTCTGAGGCAAATACTGGATATGTCTGCAACTTTAAGCTGTGTTGTGAAAAAGGTGACAATTTAGAAAAGACCATTTCACTTGTGCTTAACGATAGAAGTTTGCAGCAACCAGCCTCAGATTTTTTTTTTTTTATTTTCACCTGCTCTTAATATTAGGAAAGTGAAAAATTTGCCAGTCGCAAATATATTAATATAATTTCCTCTACTTTCATCAGTATTGCCACAAATAGAATTTCATTCTTTTTCATAACTGTGGAGTATTCCACTGTGTGTGTGTGTGATCTTTTTTGTTCATTAGTTTATTATTGGACACCTAGGTTGATTCCATATCTTGACTGCTATGAATAGTGCTGCAATAAACTTTAGGGTACAGCTGTCTCTTCAATATTCTTCTGATTTCCCTTATGGATCAATGCCCAGTAGTGGGATTGCTGGAGCATATGGTAGTTCTGTTTGTAATGATTCGAGGAGTTCTTTGTGGTGTCTGTATTAGTTTACATTCCCACCAGTATTGTCTAAGAGTTTCCCTTTCTCTACATACTCACCAGCATTTGTTACTTTTTGCCTGTTTGATAATAGCCTGCCTGCCTGGCTGCCTGCCTGCTTTCCTTCCTTTCTTCTTCTTCTCCTCCTCCCTCTTTTCCTCCTCCTCCTCTTCCCCCTCCCCCTTCCCTTTGTCACTCAGGCTGGAATCCAGTGGCAGGATCACGGTCACCACAGCCTTGACCTGGTGGGCTCAGGCAATCCTTCCACCTCAGCCTTCCAAGTGGCTGGAACCATAGATGCACACCACCACAGCTGTCTAATTTTTTTATTTATTGTAGAGATGAGGTCTTGCCAAGTTGCCCAAGCTGGTCTTGAACCCCTGGGCTCAAACAGTCCTCTTGCTGGGTTTACAGGTATGAGCCACAGCACCCATCCAATGATAGCTATTCTAACCGGGGTGAGATGATACCTTGTTGTAGTTTTGACTTACATTTCCCTAATGATTAGTGATGTTGGGCATTTTTTAATATATCCGTTTCTCTTGTCTTTCATTGAAAAAAGTCTTTTCGGATCATGAAATCATTTTTTTTATAATTGGGATGTTTGATATTAATCCTTGTCAGATGAATAGCTTTCAAATGTTTTCTCCCACTCCATAGGTTGTCTTTTCGCTTTGTTGATTGTTCCCTTTGCTGTGCAGAAGCTTTTAGATTGTATATATTCCAGTTGTTTATTTTTGCTTTTGTTGCCTGTACTTTTGTCTTTTTTTTTTTTTAATTCTAAATATGTGGAGTACAATTCAGGGTTAGGTATACAGTTGTTCATTATGCAGGTCCCCTTGTTGATGAGGTGTGCCCTCTCCCCCCCAGCTCCTGGCAGTTTCCCACTACTGCCAATCCCTTTCTTATAGTATTGTTATAGTTGTTCATGGTCTGCTTATGAGTGAGCACATGTGATACTCGCTTCTTTGTTTCTGTGATAGATCTCTCAGTATTATAGTCTCTAAGTCCATTCAAGTTGCTGCGAAGTTCATAATTTTGTCCTTCTTTGTGGCCATGTAGTATTCCATTGTGTATATGTACCACATTTTTTAAACCAGTCCTCTTTTGATGGGTAGCATAGTTGGTTCCGTGTTTTTGCTGTTGTAAATAATGCTATAGTAAACATGTGTGTGCAGGTGTCTTTTTCATAGAGTGTCTTGAGTTTCTCCAGGTATGTTCCCAGTACAGGGATTGCGGGGTGGTATGGGAGGTCGATTTTTAGATCTTTTAGGAATCGCCTCACTGTTGTTCACAGAGGCTGTACTAGTTTACACTCCACCAACAGTGTAGAAGTGTTCCCTTTTCACCACATCCTCTCCAACAAATGTTTTTAAGATATTGATAATGGGCATCCTGACTGAAGTTAGGTGGTTTCTCAGTGTGGTTTTAATTGGCATTTCTTTGATGACTAGTGAGGCTGAGCTGTTTTTCATATATTTGTTGGCTGCTTGTACATCTTTTGAGAAGTGTCTGTGTCTTTTGCCCACTTTGTAATGGGGCTGTTTGTTTTTTTCTTTTTGGCATGTTTGAGTTCCTTGTAGAGCCTAGATATTAGGCCTTGGTCAGATAAACAGTTGGCAAATATTTTTTCCCAGTCGGTGTGCTGTCTCCCCACTCAGTGGTTTCTTTGGCTTTGCAGAAGCTTGTCAGTTTGATGAGGTCCCAATTGTCTATCTTATCTCTGATGGCATGGGCACTTGCGGTTTTGATCAGGAATTGTTTGCCAGTTCCAATTTCCATAAGAGTGTCTCCTGCATTTTCTAAGGTTCTTATAGTTTGAGGTTTTACATTTAGGTCTTTGATCCATTTAGAGTTGATTTTTGTATATGGTGATAGATAGGAATCTTGTTTGAATCTTCTGCATGTGGTCAGCCAATTTTCCCAGCACCATTTACTGAAATAGGTTCTCCTCTCCCCAGTGGTTGATGGTAGAGGCTTTGTCACTCTCTTCCAGTATACAGTCGCCACTTCCCTGCAGGCCACTCGTCTGCCCCGGCCTGGCACACACCGGGTCTGTCCTGACCAATGATCTTGAGCAGCGCCTGGACTTCAGGCGCCTGACCAACACCAGCCATGGCAGCGATGCCACCAGGTACCAGCTCAGCTGCTTGCTCCCAGGCCACGAGCTGGATGTACAGGGCCTGGTATGCTGCCTCTGCCCACCGGGGGCCTTTGTGTCGGTGTCCCGAGACCACACCACCCGCCTCTGGACTCTAGACAGTCCTAACAGGGGCTTTACAGAAATGTATGAGTGGCCACTCCAATTTTGTATCTTGTGTATGCATCATACCTTCAAGTGACATGCACCCTCATGGACTAATTGCCACTGGAGGAAATGCCCACAATATTTGCATTTTTTTCACTGGACAGTCCAATGCCACTTTATATTCTAAAAGGTCACAAAAATACTGTTTGTAGTTTTTCATCTTGGAAATCTGGGACATTACTTAGTGGCTCATGGGACACCACTGCGAAAGTCTGGCTAAATGACAAATTCATGATGACCTTGCAGAGTCATACAGCTGCAGTATGAGCGTAAAGATCTTACCTGAACAGGGCTTAATACTGACTGGATCAGCAGACAAGACTATTAAACTGTGGAACAGGGCTTAATACTGACTGGATCAGCAGACAAGACTATTAAACTGTGGAAGTCTGGAAGATGTGAGAGGACTTTTTCAGGGCATGAAGACTGTAAGAGGTTTGGCAATTTTGAGTGAAACAGAATTTCTTTCCTGTGCAAATGATGCTAGTATTAGAAAGTGACAGATCACAGGCAAATGTCTTGAAGTATATTATGGATATACAAATTATATTTATAGCATATCTTTTTTTCCAAATTGTAAAGATTTTGTGACAACAGCAGAGAATAGATCTCAGAGAATTTGAAAACATGGAGAATGTGCTCAAACAGTCTGACTTCCAGCTCAGTCTATATGGTGCTACTGTGTGCTAGATAATGGTAACATTGTGGTTGGTGAGAGTGATGGTCTTATTAGAGTGGTAGAGGCTTTGTCAAAGATGAGTTGGTTGAGAAATTGAGGTTTTGCTTCTGGAATCTCTGTGCTGTTCCATTGGTCTATATGTCTGTTCTTGTACCAATACCAGGCTGTTTTGATTATTGTAGCTTTATAATAAAGCTTAAAGTCTGGGAGTGTGATGCCTCCCGCTTATTTTTATTTATTTTGCTGAGCATTGTTTTGGCTTTTTGTGGTCTTTTATGTATCCATATGAATCGCTGTATTGTTTCCAGGTCTGAGAGGAATGCTGCTGGTAATTTAATGGGTATTGTGTTAAATCTGTAGATAGCCTTGGGTAGGATGGACATCTTAACATTGCTGATTCATGAGCAAGGAGTATTTTTCCATTTGTTTGTGTCATCTTTGATTTCTTTG